ATTTTGTATCTGACACATGAAATAAGTTAAGTGTAAGTCTAAAGGAAGTAATCAATAAATTAAATAGTCAGTAATTTAATTTGATTGATTAGTATCTGAATCTTAACATGGGGAGTTAAATAAGGTTTTATGGAAGAATTTCGAAATTGAACTAAGGAGTGCAATTACGAATTTTTAGTGGAATAATTCGTAATTTATTATGATGGAAATTAGTTTCAGAATTTCGAAATTAATATCATAATAGGAAGCCTTGTTAATTAAATTATGTGGTCCCTACTGTGCCTAAATAATAGAAAATAGTGGAAACTGTTATTTAGTGGGAAAGAAAACATGAAAACCGTCCCTTAGTGGGAGAAGGAAACCTAACAGGTTTTGAAAACGGTTTTAACCTAAAAACGCAGCTATATATATGGATATACGGGCTGGACGTTTGAAAAAGGATTCTGACTGCGGTTTCTACTAGAATTTTGCCCACCCAAAATTCTCTATTTTCGGTTATTGTTTGGGTAACACAGTAGAAGACTGTGGAAATTTGTTGGTGTGTGGTATCAATTGAGGAACTGGAGAACGACATAGATTTGTGTGTTTACGCTTCAAGAGGTAACCCTAAAATCCCCATACGTGCTAGTTGTTTAGATTACACGTGAATAAGATTCTGCTATTGCTTCCGCTGTGGTATATATTCCTACAGGTAATACGTACGCAAACCTTACCCCTACCTTGTGAAAACAAAGAGGCTATAGACCTTCGGCCTTGGTAGAAACATTATTGCCTAAAAAATTGTCCGTTCTTTCATTTTTGCAGGCATTATATGGGAGAAGATTTGGACTCGTTAAGCATGAAAGAACTTCAGAATTTGGAGCATCAGCTGGATTCTGCTCTTAAACACATTCGCTCAAGAAAGGTATAGTAGAACCAAATTATTTAGAAAACATAGCTCTATAGTCTGGATTTTCTTTGACAAAACGCCTCTAAACTGAAGACTAATTTTCTTGTAGAACCAATTGATGCATGAGTCTATTTCTGAGCTTCAAAGAAAGGTAAGAATTTCCTTTCAAGTGCTTTTTACCCGAAAAGTACGAAAAAGATGTGTGTTCAGGAGTGTGACGCTTAAGTTGTTAGAGAGCAGTAGCCAATAGCAACAAGCAGTAATCACGACAAGATATATACTAGAAAATCGAAGCAGAAGATAGTAAGAAAACAATCATAATACTAACAATCTAAGAATAATGACAAGATTCTAACAGACTAGCTCTAAACAACCCGGTATGGATAAGAAGAACGCCCGACTACCTGCTACTCTTCTATCCTAATTCTTGTTCTCCACACCCTCCTATCAAGGGCCATGTACTCAGCAAGCTGAAGTCGCGTTATGTCCTGTCTGATCACCTCTCCTCAATACTTCTTAGGTCGCCTTCTACCTCTTCTCCTACCTGCCAAAACGAACTGTTCACACCTCCTAATTGGGGCATTTAGGCTTCTCTATTTTACATGCTCGAACCATCTTAACCTCGTGTCTCGCATCTTGTCCACCAATATATTGTGTCTCAACAATGAGATATTAATTTCATGATAGTAACGAATTGTTTCTTTAACATTTCCTTTGCGTGGTACAGGACAAAGCACTGCAGGAGCAAAACAACCAGCTTTCCAAGAAGGTTGATTATTATTTCATTTGTCCCTTCCAATTGGGAGTTGCCTATTTTTATATTTTGAATTCCTTTACAGGTGAAGGAGAGGGAGAAAGAGCTGGCCCAACAAAATCAGTGGGAGCAGCAGAACCAAGAACTCAACTCATCTTCATTTGTTTTGCAACAACAATTGGACTCTCCTAACCTTGGGTATATTGTAGTTTCCCCCTTCCGGTCCCCATTTCTTTATTCTACTTTTGGTATTAGATCAGCCACTGGCTTATCAAAAAGCAGTATAAAAATAAGTTTAAAAAATGAGAAAATTAACTTTCAAATAACGTGTATCCAATCATCGTTCAATCAATTACATAAAGTACTCAAGAAAAAGGGATGCATATGCCTAGGGTTTTGGTCTAATGGTAAGAGCGCATCGCGTGATGTATAGGTTAACTCACATGTTTGAATTCCACTATAGACAAAACTCGATATTTAAGTAAAAAGAATAGAGGGGCGATATATCCCATCATCTAATGAGTTTCGAACTGTGCACCACCAACCCTCAAGAACTTCTCGATCTACAAGAAAAAAAGGAGGTGATATGCATATTTGAGCTGATGTAGCTTTCTTGGGAACACTATATATGTGATCTAACGCATAAGTGGATCTGGGATTTAAATGTTATTCCAAGCTTTAAGATTCTTAGCATCACACTTATTGTAATTATGAAATTATGCGTTCAAAATTTATTATTTTGTTGAGGTTTTGGTGCCTTTTAACTATATATCTATGTTCTGCAAAATTACTGAGTTCTATTGAACCCGTAATATATATATATATATAAGCTCCATTTGCCTCTGATGTAACATGCAAAATGCAGGGAAGCATATCAGAGCACTGCAGAAGAAAATGGAGAAGTAGAAGGAGGTTCGAATTCGCAGCAGCAAACTGCTAATACTGTGATGCCACCATGGATGATTCGCCATCTTAATGGCTAATTAATAACTTGATGGTCAGTATTAAGCTAGGTATTTTTGTCTAAGAATTAAGTAAACGCTTCATATATGTTTACCAAAAAATAACTCTATCTCTAATTTACACAATATATACAGTTATATATAGATGGGCTGTTGTAAAACATTACTATGTTAAAATGAACTGATTTACTGTATCAGCCTTGCCTTTGAATAACTAATTAAATATTATGAATGATCTTCTTGTAGAAGATATATATATACTTGAATGGTGATGATTAATCTTTAATTTCTTCAAGTTGAACCTAGTATTTCCTTCATTCTTCATATTTGCAACAGAAACAAATCGTGCATTTTATCTTTATCATACCTAGAATGTGACCGAGCGTATTATGAGCGAAATGCTCAAGTGACCCTATCGTACTTTTAATCTTAAGGGTTCCAAATAAATTATATGACCATTTTAACATATATATACACTTATATATTTAGAATATTTGCCGAATTAACAGGGTTTGGTGGCGCCTCTTCTACACGCGTAAGTCTGCCTCTGATCATACCATAGTTAGGATTACTGTGAATTGTTTTTAAAGAAATGCATGAACATCACATACTTGTGTTGTTGAAAATATATTAGTGATATATATTAGTGCTCTAAACAACAACAAACCCAATATTAAATTAGTGCTCTACCAATATATTAAAATTACGGATAGGCGACCAAACAATTGATTATATGATCAATAAATATTGCACCGAACTCTCAAACTAGATTATATAAATTGTCAAAAATTTAGTTACTATAATTCGTGCATGCACGTCGATTTTTTGCTTAGCTAAAACCAGAGCTAAGTGCCTTAATATATATATATATATATATATATATATATATATATTTCCTATTTGTTCCAATTCCCCTTGTCCCTATTCGAATATTCTTATTTCTTAATTATGCTATTGAGCTATTCTATAAGCAACTATATCTCGTTTTGTTCATATTTTTTCTATGATTTCCGTGGTGATACTAATATTGTCTCCTTTTATCTTTTTGTTTTCTTGAGCCGATGGCTTTTCAGAAACAACCTCTCTACTCCTTCAGGATAGGGGCCGGTAAGGTCTGCGTACACACTACCCTTCCCAGATCTCACTAGTGAGATTTTACTGGATTGTTGTTGTTGTCATGTTTGCTAATTAACTTATCCATAAACTCGTGTTTGAGAATAAAATAAAAAGTGTATAAAATATAAATTAAAGAAATGATTGACAAATGTTAAAAAACAAGAAAGACACGAGCAAAATACTTGCTTTTTCTTCGTCATCTTTTCTTGATTGGTACTACAAATATTGGCTTTGGGAGTTTGTTGTTAAACAAAAACCATTAAAGGACAGCTAGAATTTTCCATTCCTGAAGATTTAATGCAGAATATATCTTTTTCAAATATTTGACATTTGAGGATTATGAATGAATCATAAGGCCAATGAGTCCTACCGGTTGATGGACTAATTAGGCCAAAATCCAAATATTATTTGGACTATTGGATCATGTCCCGTAACTTTCGATGTGGAAATTTGACTCGTGTAGTGGAGAATTGAGAAGGTTTCATGTTTCACATTTAAGACCTAAATAAACTTTTGTACTCGGTGTTTTTTATATTCCTTTTCAATTTACATACTCCTCTCCTCGGATGTTATTATTGTTGTTTCAATTTATGCACAGTAAATGCTTGTATAAGTTACACATAAATTCATGTTATTCTATACCTAATGCAATATGAGATAACGATATTGTATAATCCATACCATGATTAAAGTTCCTAACGGAAAAGACAACACTGGCCTTGCTCTTTAAGTTTCTCCAGATCAAACTTCTTTTAGGATACTCAAGTCCAAGACTCCACAAGGGCACTGAAAACAACAATTCTAAACCAAACATAAGTTTAAGTTATTCTAATATAATAATCCCTTTATTTTAGTTGGTGTTTGGACGTACATTTTGTTGATTTTTTTTTTATTTTATAAAAAAGAGTTTTTGAAGATGAGATTGAAAAATAGTCTTTGAAAGTTAAAATTATGTTTGGACGGAATATCCTACTTGAAAAAAAAACTAAAATTTTGTCAGTAGATAACTTCAAAAACTTAAAAACTAGTCTACCACTTTTTGAAACTTGAAAAATTCATCTTCAAAAACTGCCCTCTTTTTATAACTTAACAATTACTTTGCAAAAAAAAAAAAAAAGTGAAAAAAAGACTCATGGCCAGACAGAAGCTTAATTTTTACATTACTAATTCATGTATTTTAAATCTTGCATAATTATTGAATAAACCAAAGACCCCTAAAGTGTCCTTATCCTCACACCCAACAAGCCCACCTTCTAATTTTTAATTTCTAATTAACGGGATTCTTACATACCTATACATTATTAGAAACTTTATTACGAAAAATGTTTATGTTTTGGTATTTAATTATCCGACCTAAACACATTTTAGTTATAAAATATATGCAATCCACGTTAAAATGCTCCCAATCCATTATTTGTGCCTTCGATCAAGAAATTTAGTTATAGCTTTCTCTTTTTTCTCTCATCTCTCCTCTCTTAGTGTAATAATACTCCCATGGTCGAAGATTCTAGTTTGATACCCATTCTTCAAGGCTTTTTCTGACATTTTTTGGATGAATTTTGATTTTAAACTATATTTTTAAAATACTGTCACTGTAGTTTCAGATACCCTTTCCTTAATTAACTTGGAAAAGCTTATCACTATTATTCAAGCGTTCATTATTTATTTATTTTTTAACATTTTCAACTCCATAATAAATCAATGATTAGACGTGGCTCACTCTAAGTTGTAACCGGTTGCAGAAGCATTCGCGATGAGCTCGCCAAGCAGAATGTAGAAGCCACCAATCTTACTAACAAGCTAGATCGAGTAAGTGTTTTTTCTTACTACTAATAAAATATAGACTTGATCAGAGAAACAAATTTTACTAATATGCACGGACAGTGTAAAAGAGATAATTATAGGTAAAGGCATAAAATAAGTAAACTAGTTACCTGAAAGCTATAACAGCTAACTTGTTTCAACAAGTTAAATTGCAATGGAAGTGTCAAAAACTATTAGACTATCGGTGTGTACATAAGTTAAATTCAATAAAATTTAGTGTAATAGCGGGTAACATTATCGAACTCACTATGTCTTGATATATATTATACAACTTATCTACAACTTTTATACATTATTTCTACCCAGTTATATACAATTACAATATCATACAACTTAATTATAATTTTTATATAAATTTTATACAATATATTTTTTGTATATTTTGTATTTGTTTTATACATAGTAAAAACAAATTTCATACAACTAATTATATATTATACAACTTATCTACAACTTTCGTACATTATTTCTACCCAACTATATACAACTACAATATCATACAACTTAAATACAATTTTTATACAAATATTGTTCAACTTTC